CACTTTAGGAGGCCAAGCCAGGAGGATCTCTTGAGCTTGGGAGTTTAAGACCAGCCTGGGGAACATAGCAAGACTCCCATCTCTACCAAAAAAAATAAAAACCCAAAACCGCAAACCAAAATTAGACAGGCCTACTATAGGAGGCTGAGGCAGGAGGACTGCTTGAGCCCAGGACTTCAAGGCTGCAGTGAGCAATGATTGCACCACTGCACTCTAGCCTGGATGACAGAGAGAAAACCTGTCTCAAAAAATAATAATAATAACAATAACAAAAGAAAGAAAAAAGAAGGATTGACAGGAAAATTAAACCCCTAAAATAAATAATCCACTAGCACATCCAGTCAATACAAAAAAAGGAACAAACACACTGTCAGACATATTAATGAAGAATGAAAAGGAAAAAATACCCAATGTTGCACATAAAATTAAATGTTTTTTGTAACACTATGCTAATAAATTTGTCAATCTGTCTGGGATGGGTTGATTAGGAAAAGAGAAGTTACTACCATAATCCAGTAAGAGATTTTTTAAAAACATAAATATTTCTTCACACAAACTGTTCAAGAAATTGAGAAATTTGTCAGACTCCTCCAAGCAGTGTAAGTGCAAAAACTCAAATGGGTAAGTTATTTTTAACTACAAGCAATAGGTCATTCTAATGCTATTTAAATTAATCCATAAGCAGAGAGAGGGTAAACTTCCACTGAAAAAAAATCAGGTTAGCTAATGATGATATCAAAAACTGACAATGATACCATTAAAAAAAAAAAAAAAAACTAAAGCCCATTCTTAGTAAAGAGAAGATGTAAAAATCCTTGCTAGCACATAGAATCTAGAAGTGCATTAAAAGAATAATATACCATGAACAAATGGAAAATTTCTTCCAGAAATACAGGAATGATCCACTATTTTCACCATTATGATTTCTATTAGTTTAATTCATTATATCAATTGGTCAAAGGAATAAAAACATAATGTCAATAAATTCTCAAAGCATTTGATAAAATTTTCCATCTATTCTTAGATACTTTTTTAAAAAGTCCTTAGAAACAAAACCATCTATAATGTGCTAAAAACACATTCTTCAAATCAAAAGCGAAGATATTTTCTGATGACCACAGAAGCATTCACAATTAAGACAAAACCAGGATTAGAATGCCAGTGGCAACATTATTTTCTAGCATTATTCTGGAAACCATAACCCAGAGCCATTGTGTCCAGTTATGAGGGCTGTTCCCTACACCAGGGCACTTGGCTAAGAGGATGAGAAGCAGGGCTGAGATCCACTCTATGCTCCACTCGCCCTGGCCTAAGGCTGAATCTGTTGGCTGAAAGGTTCACTCGGCTACCTTTATCTAATTGGTTTGTGCCGTTGGGTGCCTTTAACTAATTGGTTCATTCAAAAGAGCTGCCTTTATCTAATAGGTGGGGAGGCAGGGATCACCTCTTGGCAATTTCTCACCAGGCATGGTACCCTATATAAGTTCCTGGTGGCCCTATACTACTACAGTTAGATGATAAGATGAATCAAGAGGCATAAATATAGGCAAAGAGGGAACTAGATTATGATTGTTTGCATGTTATTAAGTTGTATACATAAAAAACCCAAGAGAACAACTGAAGAACCGTAAGAAACAGTAAAATGTAATTCTATTAAAGTATAGATGGTGGTTTATTCACATATTTATTTCAAGTTTCATCTGGCATATAGTAAGCACACAGTCAAAACTAAATCGAATTAAGCAACTCTTGTTTTGTGAGATCCTGCAAAACACATAAATTTCATTCATTTGGCCGGGCATGGTGGCCCATGCCTGTAATCCCAGCACTTTGGGAGGCCGAGGTGGGTGGATCACCTGAGGTCAGGAGTTTGAGACCAGCCTGATCAACACGGAGAAACCCCGTCTCTACCAAAAATACAAAATTAGCTGGGCATGATGGTGCATGCCTGTAATCCCAGCTACTCTGGAGGCTGAGGCAGAATTGCTTGACCTCAGGAGGCGGAGGCTGCAGTGAACCGAGATCACATCATTGCACTCTAGCCTGGGCAACAAGAGTGAAACTCCATCTCAAAAAAAAAAAAAATTTTCATTCGTTTGTTTCCAAAGCATACTGTGTAATGCTTAGATCACTTATTGAGCCCTTGCTGAATGCCAAGGACTTTTCTAAGTCCCGTACTCTACATGTTTGAATGCATCTAATTCTCACAACAATTCTATGAGGAATTGTTATGATCCTCATTTTACACTAGGAAACCAAGGCACAGAAAGGTTCAGTAATTTGCCTAAAGACATTAAGAGCTGGAATTTAATCTGAGGCAGTGTGGCCAGAGTCTGGCTTTAACCATTACAATATACTGCTTCCCAATCACTGAATGAAGGAATATGTGTACAGCCCTTGGTCTACAATGCATCTCTGAATTATAACATCATTCCCAGGGAAACAATCAAAGAAGCCCTATTCTAAGATACTGCGTTGAATATCAGCAATTTGGGTACTATTGTATGATTGATAGATAGATAGATAGATAGATAGATAGATAGATAGGTAGATAGAAAGGAAGGATAGGATAGGATAGGATATAGTATTTGTACCCCTTCAAAGAATTCGGAGCTTATTGGTTTAATTATATTTAGACAACTAGTGTAATGGCTAGGTTTACTGCCTTTTGTGAAGCTGTAAGATTTGTTTATGAGTGTCACCATCCACTATAATGTTTACCATCAATCTTGAGAGAAAAGAGAGAAATGTTTGAACCATGGTAACTTCAAGGAGTGTATCCTTCAATTTCTCAGCATGTATTCATGGTATATGGATGTGAGTGTTTCTATACGAGAGAGGGGTAGAATCCAGGAGCCTGAACACGGAGGTTGTCATCTCAGCTCTACTGGGTAACTTTGAAGAAATTATGACCTTATCTGGGCCTCCATCTGGAGAGAAATGACTAGGTGGAGCATCTAGATTTGTTTTATTTTTTCAGTAGTGGGCCTTGAGCACAAGGTGATGAATTATCCAGTGATTGTTGAAGGGCATCAAAAGGGTCCAGCTCACTATGAGCAACTGTTTTTAAACAGTCCAGAGCCTGAAAATTTTGTGTATAAGACACTTTTCCCAGTAGTCTTCACACCCTCCCACCTCATGATTGTGATTATAATAATTAACAACCTGATAGGGTTAAGAAAAAAGATATAAAATTAGTACCCTGCAATTGTCTGTCTTGATCTGTGAGGTCATCTTTCTTCCAATATTCCTACCCTATCTTCCATCTAAGGTAAATTCTGAGTCAGCCAGTTCTGGTACTGGATTTGGTTACCGAGAATTGGGATCAGGTTTTGAAAAGGCCGGAAAAACGTTCAAGGTCTGACAAATTCAATTTGGAAATGGCAAGGATTGGTTTTGGAAAGAAAAATGATTTAGGACATGGCCGGGTGAAGAGAGGGCCAAGCAGCCAAGTTCATATCACTTTCTGGGAGGAAGTAGAGAATGGGGAAGACATTTTGGTTGAGGTGTTGCAGTCTGTGAAGACTGACGGGGAAAGGGGGGTTTTAGAATGTTTGCAGCACATTAATAATCTACTCTCCCACCCATCCTGTAATTGCATTCAATTGTTTGGGGGTTTTCTTTTTTTCCTGTATGCTCATTACGGAAACTAGGCTATGTAAATCCCTAGCCATACTCACATTATACTACCATTTATTTGGCATTTATGTGTCAGGTATTGTAGTAAGCACTTAAACTTGCATTTTCTCATTTGACCCAAAAAAGAAAAGAATACATCAACAAAAAACTTTTGAGTTTCCTATTATTATTAACTACTATTATTATAATTTCAATTTTAGGGATAGGAAATTGAGATTCAGAAAGATAAAATGACATGTCTACATTAATTGGTGGGCCAAGATCGGAAGCCAGGCCTGTGATTCCATTCAACAAATTATTTAGCACGAGCCTCCTCTACCCCAGGCACTCCAGGACCCTGGATCTAGCCATGAACCTGACGATGTCCCTTTGCTCGTGGAATGGACTACCCAGAACATCATCAGAGTAAAAGGTGCTATGTACACAGTAAAACGGGGAACGACCTGCTCAAACCTTACTCCATCAGAATTCTTGAGGGTGGGAGATTTTCGCCCCCGGCCCCTTGCGTTATATTAGGTCCCCGGCCCTCGGGTTGTGGTGTCGACGGCTGGCTGGGCGCGGGGCTGGCGGTGCGGGTCGCAGGCTGCTCCCAGCGGCAGGACGGGCAGCAGCCCTCCCTCACCCGGGGCGCCGGGATCACGGACGCACCTCACTGTGGTCCCGTCGCTGGCGGCGCTCAGAGGCCCATTGCCCCTGGCCCGCCGCAACTGCCGGCCCGGCACGGCGCCCGCCCTCACGCTGGAGCCCGGGAGTCCCTCACTCCACCTCTCCCTGCTACGCCAAGGGGGCCCGCCCCTCCCAGCCTCCTCTGCCTGGGGCGACCCAGTCCCACAACCCGATCTGCACCCGACCCACCTCCCCAACCCCCTCCCGTTAGACCGCGACCCGTCCCTGGGACCGCCTAAGGTGAGCCTCCCCGCAGGCGACTCGCCCCCGCCCTGCACCCTCCCTGCAGGTGACCCCGTTCCGCCGGCTACCGTGAGGTGACCCCGACTCTCTCCGGACCCTCCCCCCAGGTGATCACGACCCTCCCCAGACCCTCCCCTCAGGTGACCCCAACCCTCCCCAGACCCTCCCCTCAGGTGGCCCCGACCCTCCCTAGACCCTCCCCTCAGGTGGCCCCGATCCCCCTCACTCTCCCCTCAGGTAACCCTGACCGTCCCCTCAGGTAACCCCGACCCCCCACCCTCCCCTCAGGTAACCCCGACCCTCCCCTCAGGTGGCCCCGACCCCCCAACTCTCCCCTCAGGTAACCCTTACCGTCCCCGGAACCTCCTCACAGGCGGCCCCGCCCCACCCCGGACCCTCCCGCCAGGTGACCCCGACAAGGCCCGGTCCCTCCTGCCTGAGGTGACTCCTACCCGGCTGGCGACCCCCGAAGCCTCCCTCGCTCCTCAACTGAGGGCGACTCCGCTCATCCCGGGACACTGCGTCTTTTCCTGTAAACTCGACGCCTGCCCCGACGGCCGAATTCCAGAAGGTTCCTCGCCGCCGCCTCGCTTTCGGTCGTGCCTCAGCGCCCGGCCAGAGGCGGGGAAGCGCTTCCCTCGGTGCCAGGAGTGACGAGGGCCCAAGGAAAGACAGGGCATAAGGAGAAATGGAGAAAGGGCCAAAGTCTAATTTCCAGGTGTGAAGATTTCTACCGCTGTGAACCGCATGTGCGCACAGCCATTCCTGTCAGAGCGCCGCGCCCTCGCTCGGCTACCGCCGCTGCGCGCCTCCTTCTGGACATAGGCGCAGTCACCGGCTGCCGCGCGGCCGGGTGCGAACCGCGTCCTCTCAAGGTGGCCGACTGCGCACGCGCAAGACAGCGCGCCCTCTGCTGGGCAAGGGCGAGATGCACGGGGCACTGCGCAGGCGCGGGGTTGGGCTGGCCGGAGCGGCCGAGGCGGCCGGGGGTGGACCGGGCACCTGCAGGGGCGGCCGACTGCGCACGCGCGAGCCGCCGCGCCCCCTGCTGGAGCCGGAACGGCCGGTGCGTCCGCCAGTCGCGGGTCGCAGGCGCCCCCTCCCCTCCAGGGCAGCCACGCAGCTGTCAGTGCTTCCGCCACTGCGAGGCTGGAGCAGAGCCCGGGTGGCCGAGGGAGGGGACCCCGCGAGAGGGCCGCGCGCCGGCCGCCGCCGCCCCGGCGCCCAGGCTCGGTGAGTGCCGCCGGGACCCGCCGCTCCCGCACTTGTTCCCGGGGCTTGCGGTCCCCACCCGGGTCCGCCCTACCCACCCTAGCTGGCCAGCTTGGGCCTCGGGCCGCCCCCAGCTCTGGCCTGGCCTGCGGGCCCCTCCCGCGACCCCGCATCCCCGCCGGCCGCGCCCGCCCCTCCCTCCGCGGCCTCGGCTCCCGGCGCTCCCTGCAGGTGCCGCTCCCGCAGCGTCGGCTCCCATCCGAGCCTTGGGCGTGTCCCGCACTGCGGGCAGTGCCGGAGCCCGCGCCGCACGGGGAAGCTCAACCCTGCCGAGACTTGGCACGGCCCAGGCCAAGTCAAGGAGGTGGATGTGTAGCGCCCGACAGCCCCGGGCCCGAGGGATGCAGGCGTCCACCGCGCACCTGCGGAGATGGCGCCGCTTCCCTGTGGCGGGGAGGCCGGGCGCGTGGTGGCAAAGCCGCCCGGGTTGGATTCCGCCTGCTCCCACCCCCTCGTTCCGAGGAGCCTCCGAATCCGAATCCAAGGCGCCTCCGAATCCGAATCCAAGGCCCACAGTCCGCGGTGGGCGTTTGCTGCGCCCTCCGCTGTGTGGGGGCGGGGAAGGGGAGCCGCTAGTCCAGGCGGAGGGGCCTGTGGCAGTCGCCGAGGCCGAGTTCTCGGTGCCCTCCGTCAGGACGCCTGTGTGCATCGCGTCCGTGTGTCTTGGCTCTGTTCCAAGCCGGCTTCACGCGTCAGGAGGGCCGGGACGACCTTATGGTCACGGGCGTAGGGAAGGCGCTTGGTATCTGTCGCACGGATGAAGCCATGTCCTCAGGGGATGAAGCCATGTCCTCAGGGGGTAATTGCCGCTTGTTCGCCGGGTTACGTCCTGGACTGTGCACTCCGGGAAGGCATGGATTGGATCTTGTTGGGGTTTGTGTTCCTGGAACTCCCAAAATGCCCGCTGAGTGAGTAGCTAGACCCCGCGACAGCATGGAGCCAGGCAGGGTGCACGTGGAAGAGGTGCAGCCTTCTCCCGGGCGCCCTATCATTTTATTCAGAGAGTCTGGGTGCTGCCTTTTGTAAACTTGAAAAGACTAAGACTGTTTTAGAAAGTTTGCCTCTTGGGAAATGTAAGAGAAAGGGAAAAATAGATAAAAATGGATGTCATGGGAATCTCCCCACACTTTTATTTTTAACTTCTTAGAGAATTTTTCTTTTAAATTGAACCTTTGCTAACTTTGACAAACAGGACGACGCCTCTCCCTTCCTAAGGTAACTTACCACCATTCTGACCAGACAGCTCTTTTGAAACAGGAGAGGGTAGCACGAGTTGTTTCTAAAAAGAGGTTAGCCTTCCATCTGCATGAGCCAGGCAGACTCACGGGAACCCATTTTGACTTAGTCTCAACTGGGAAGGCCCAGGTAAGATCCCTGGTTTGCCGTTTCTTCCCCAGCCCTGCTTCCGGAGACTGTGGAGTCTATTGAAGGGAAGCATTCTGGAACTCTGGGAACGGCCCTGACAGGGAAGGCCCTGTGCACAGTTGAAAAATGAATTGGAGGCCGGGCTCAATGGCTCACACCTGTAATCCCAGCACTTTGGGAGGCAGAGGCGGGCGGATCACTTGAGGTCAGGAGTTCGAGACTAGCCTGGCCAGCATGGCGAAACCCCGTCTTTACCAAAAATATATATAAAAAATTAGCCGGGTGTGGTAGCACGTGACTGTAATCCCAGCTACTCAGGAGGCTGAGGCAAAAGAATCATTTGAACCTGGGATGCAGACGTTACAGTGAGCTGAGATGGCGCCACTGCCCTCCAACCTGGGCGACAGAACGAGACTTTGTCTCAAAAAAAAAAAAAAAATGAATTGTACACAGTCCCTGCTCTTGGGGGGTGTTAGGATAGAGCTAAAAAGATGCTTTATTCAGAAGTAACTGTGATGGAAGACAGAACAAGATGAGTACCACATGACACATCTAGAAAAGGTGCAACAGGTGACTAGAGGTGGAGGAGGGGTGGCTCCAATAAGAGCAGAAGGTCTCCACCCAGGCTTCCTGTTACAATTACCTGGGAAGCCAGCCTGGGCCCAGAACAGCCCAGCATCTCCAGGGGTGGGCCTCAGATGTCAGTTTCTGCCTTAAAGTGCCCTGGAAAATTCCACTGTTCAGGCAGCCAAGACAAAGAGCCCCTGAAACAAGCTTCACAGAGGCCATGGCACTAGAAGTGGGCTGGGAAGTGATGGGTAGGTGTCGGCAAGTAGAGAATGCTATGCTGGGTGATATTCTAGGCAGACAAAACACTGAAGGCCCACATCTTGTGGGGAAGAGTGAGGCATGTCAGACCCTGTCCGGGAAGAGTTTTGCAGACCCCATTCTCCTGAATGGCTCAGAGTGTGTGTGGTGTTGGAGAGGTTTGGAGCCAACAGGCAGACCGGTGCCTTTGCGGGAGCCATGTAACGAGGTCCTTGCTACCTTACTTGTTGCAGAACATCCATGGTTACCTCTCTCTGGGGACTTTCCATTGCCTCATTACCTCGTTTCCTGCAGCTAGGGAGGCAGAACAGCTAGCTGGACGGAGAACAAGACTGAGGCCACGGCAAGGGTTAGGGAAGCAGGCAGCAGCAGAGATTTTGTGGAAGTCTCTCCTGATAGCTCCCTTTGGAACCACATCTCTGGCTTAAAAATACACCCTATGAACCCCTGCCAGAACTTCAGTGTAAACGCAGAGCCTGTGCTCCTAGGGAGGCAGCCGCCTCCAATTCCGGGCAGCGCCTGTGGTGCTGAGTATGAGCGCCAGCAAGCTAGGGCTCTGCCAGGGCCTGCGATGCCAGTGCCACAGCCTCAAACCAGCCTCCCCAGCTCTCAGCCGATGGCTGTGGCTTGTGCATTTGTTCCTACCTCGTCCCTCCAAGGGCCACTGAGTATACAAGTTGGCCTTGGCCAGTGCAATTGATTCACGTCTGTAATCTTGGCACTTTGGGAGGCCAAAGCAGGAGGATCACTTGAGGTCACAAGTTGAAGACCAGCCTGGGCAACATGGCAAGACCCCATCTCTAAAAAAAAAAATTAATTAGCTGGGCATGGTGGTGCATACCTATGGTCCCAGCTATTTAGGAGACTGAGGTGGGAGGATCACTTGAGCCAGGAGGTCAAGGCTACAGTGAGCCATGATCACACCACTGTACTCCAGCCTAGGCAAAAGAGTGAGACCCTGCATAAAAAAAAAAAAAAGGCCAGCCGCGGTGGCTCACGCCTGTAATCCCAGCATTTTGGGGGGCTGAGGCAGGCAGATCACAAGGTCAGGAGATCGAGACCATCCTGGCTAACACGGTGAAACCCCCTCTCTACTAAAAATACAAAAAATTAGCCGGGCGTGGTAGCGGGAGCCTGTAGTCCCAGCTACTCGGGAGGCTGAGGCAGGAGAATGGCGTGAACCCTGGAGGCGGAGCTTGCAGTGAGCTGAGATCGCAATACTACACTCTAGCCTGGGCGACAGAATGAGACTTCGTCTCCAAAAAAAAAAAAAACAGGCCTCAGACTTTTTTTTCATGTGTACCATTATGTGTGAGTGAATGTAAACATGCAGCCCGATATGTATTATAAATTACAATTACTGTCCTGATGTATTATGGACATAGAAATATATACAAATATAGATCTTTTAAAGGAATAAAGGCCAGGCATGGTGGCTCACACCTGTGAACTCAGCACTTTGTGAGGCTGAGATGGGAGGATCCCCTAAGGCCAAGAGTTTGAGACCAGTCTGGGCAACATAGTGAGACCCTGTCTCTACTGAAAGAGAAAAAAAAAAAAAAAATGGCATGCACCTGAAGTCCCAGCTACTCTGGAGGCTGAGGAGGGAGGATTGCTTGAGCCTGAGAATTCAAGAATGCAGCGAGCTATGATCATGCCATTGCACTCCAGCCTGAGAAACAGAGCAAGACCCTGTCTCTAAAAGAGAAAAAAAAAAGAGGTGAAATAAGCATGATTAATTTTATCCAACATATGAATGCTACAAAAACTATTGTATAAACATGCTTTTTAAAGATGAAAACCACATGTCCACATCCCATTTATCAACCCTTATTGAATCCTGAGTCCCAGCCTTTAAGATCAATTGTAAGTTCTGTTTATTGGCCAGGCGAGGTGGCTCACGCCTGTAATCCTAGCATTTTGGGAAGCCGAAGTGGGCAGATCACTTGAGGTCAGGAGTTCGAGACCAGCCTGGTTAACATGGTGAAACCCCATCTCTACAAAAAAAAAAAAATTAGCTGGGCATGGTGGTGGGCACCTGTAATTCCAGCTACTCAGGAGGCTGAAGCAGGAGAATCACTTGAACCTGGGAGGCGGAGGTTGCAGTGAGCCGAGATTGCACCATTGTATTCCAGCCTGGGCAACAAGAGTGAAACTCTGTCTCAAAAAAAAATATATATATATATATATGTATGTATTTCAGGCCCTAGTTATTAGCAGCATTTATGCATAAACACAATACAGAGAAAGGCACAAACCCTGTGCTTACCAGGCAGGGTACTTTTCAATTTCATTTACCCATCATCTGAGGGCCCTTGATGAATGTGGGCTGGGGTGTGTTCAGTGACTGTCAGGGTAGGTGGAAGTTCTGGTGTTGATGTTTTGATGTGCGGGTGTAAATGTTCATGTAGACAGTATGCTTGTAGCATCATTGGGAATGCAGTCACGTCATTGTGGAAACCTCTTCAAATGTCTGTTTTCACAAATGCTCTATTCTTGGTACGGATTCTTTCTGAAAAGCTGTAACTCATATATTGTCACCTTTTCTTTGAAGGAACAGATTGCATTGTGTCTATTTAAAAGAAAAAAGGTAGATTGGACACACTGCTGCAGTCATTTGTCATTAAAAACAAAAAAATGTCTCCAGATTTGGAACTTTTCACAAAAGAAAATCTGTACCTTCTTAAATTTTCTGACTCTTTGAAGTACTAAGTCATGAAATGACCAGTAAACCTCCAAGTCACACAAAAGATATTCATGGTCATTTTCCACATCACTGCAAAATATTGTAAAGCTTTCATTATTTTAAGGATCTTGAGTTTTTTTTTGTTTTGTTTGTTTGTTTTAATTGACCACAACTGGAATACCCTGAAACTTGTAAACTCCAACATGCCTAAGATGCTTAAAGTAGACTTGTGGTGAGGGCCCACCATCACAGGGTGCCTCCTCATCACAGTGTGTCTCCTCCTCAGTCAGGATGCCACGGCTGCTGACATACAAGCTAGCGTGAACACCAGGGTCTATCAGTAAAGCTGGCAGGGTATAGTAGCTCATGCCAGTAGTCCCAGCACTTTGGAAGGCTGAGGCAGGAGGATCATTTGAGCTCAGGAGTTTGAGACCAGCCTGGGAAACATAGTGAGACCCGTCTCTACAAAAAAAAAAAAAAAAAAAAAAAGCCAGGTGTGGTGGTGCATACCTGTAGTCCCAGCTACTTAGGAGGCTGAGGCAGGAGGATCACACCACTGCATTCCAGCCTGGATAACAGTGTGTGACTGAGACCCTGTCCCTGCAGGAAACAGACAGAAATATCAGTGAAGCCATTTTTTTCGCATTTTTAAAGAAAAATACTTACAAGTAGATTTTCTCATCACTTTTTCACTGCTGCAGGTTGTCTAGCCCACCCCACTTGGAGACCACTGGGAAGGGGCGAGGACCACACCCTATAAATGTGCCTGCTTATATATATATAAATAATATTTAGGACCGGGCACAGTGGCTTACACCTGTAATTCCAGCACTTTGAGAGGCAGAGGCGGACAGATCACTTGAGGTCAGGAGTTCGAGACCAGCCTGTCCAACACGGTGAAACCGCATCTCTACTAAAAATACAAAAATTAGCTGGGCGTGGTGGTGGGTGCCTGTAATCCCAGCTACTCAGAAGGCTGAGGAAGGAGAATCGCTTGAACTCAGGAGGCAGAGGTTGCAATGTGCTGAGATTACACCATTGCACTCCAGCCTGGGCAACAAGAGTGAAACTGTCTCAAAAAAAAAAAAAAAAAAACCAGAAAATAATATTTAAGTCGGGCACGGTGGTGGTTCATACCTGTGATCCTAGCACTTTGGGAGGCCGAGGCAGGTGGACCATTTGAGGTCAGGAGTTCAAGACCGGCCAGGCCAACATGGCAAAACTCCATCTCTACTAAAACTACAAAAAATTAGCTGGGTGTGGCGGCAGGTGCCTGTACTCCTCAGCTACTTGGGAGGCTGAGGCAGGAGAATCATTTGAACCTGGGGGCTGGAGGTTACAGTGAGCCAAGATCAGGCCGCACTCTAGCCTGAGTGATTAAGACTCCGTCTCAAAAAAAAAAAAAAAAAAAAAAAATTACTGGTGTTTGGGGATTTCATCCACAGGATCCATTGAATTAGACATTTTCAAATATTTACTGTGCACCCCTCCCTCGAAAAAGATCATGTCCTGAATAAAGGATTAAACAAAACCAGTCACCCTCACCCAGCGTCACTGC